TCTTTTAAGGATTTTGGAGTGGGCCACTCCACCATTGACTTAATCTTGTCTTGGTCCTCTGCCACTCCCTCATGTGAAATGATATGGCCCAAATAAGCCACTCTTTCTTTGCCAAACTCAACACTTTTTTTGATTGGCATACAAGGTATGTTTTTGAAGAGTTGCTAGCTCGGCTTTCAAATGTGTCACATGCTCCACTTGGCTAGCACTATACACAAGTATATCATCAAAAAATACAAGGACAAATTTGCGTAAAAAGGGACGAAATACCTCATTCATCAAAGATTGGAAGGAAGGTGGCCGGTGCATTGGTTAATCCGAACGGCATAACGAGGAACTCGTAGTGTCCTTCGTGAGTCCAAAACGCGGTTTTATGCGTGTCCTCCGGTCGAACCAAAATTTGGTGATACCCCGCCTTGAGGTCCAACTTAGAGAAAACCCGAGCCCCGTGTAACTCATCCAAGAGCTCATCGATGACCGGTATCGGGTATTTATCTGGCACCGTCTCCTTGTTGAGAGCACGGTAGTCTACGCAAAACCTCCACGAGCCGTCTTTCTTCTTCACTAATAACACCGGGCTAGAGAAGGGACTTGTTGACGGCTTAATTATACCGGCCTCTAACATTTCCTTGATGAGTTTCTCAATTTCATCCTTTTGAAATTGTGGATAGCGATAGGGTCGGACGCTAACCGGATTACACCCTTCCTTAAGTACGATCGCGTGCTCATGACCACGGTTCGGTGGTAGCCCCTTGGGTTCCTCAAACACCCCCCCATATTCCTCAACTGCTTCTTGTAAAAATTCTGGCACCTGCCCTCCTTTAGGCTCACCTTTGCTCCCTTCGATTCTGCTCAACTCAACCAGTAAACCACCATTTTCCTTTCTCATAGTACGGATCATAGCTTTTAGTGTGACACCTGTTCTTGCGAGGCTCGGACCACCATTAATGGTGACTATCTCTTCCCCCCTCGTGAAGCTCATCCTCTGTAATTTCCAATTTGTTACCACCTCACCTAATTTCTCCAACCATTGGACGCCCAATATGACGTCAGAATTGCCCAGTTGTAGCGGCAAAAAATCCTCTTCGACCACCAGTCCCCCATTCAGTCGTACCCCATAGCATACCCCTCTCCCCTTAATTGCTTCGTCGTTGCCCAATGACACACCAAAAGCGGTTGTGTCGGTGATCGGAATCTTCAATTTGCTCACAGTCCCCGTAGATATGAAGTTGTGGGTGGCTCCGGGGTCCACCATCACCACCACCGGAGTCCCCTGTATCTACCCCGTCAGTTTCAATGTCTTCGGGCTCGTTAATCCCACGATCGAATTCATCGTGGTGGTCGTCGAAATTTCCTCCTCTTCCTCCGGCGTCTCCAACGCCCCAAATTCTCCGGCCTCGTCGACCTCCTCCTCTTCCACCAGTAGCACACTCAACCCCTTTGGCGGCGCAGACATGGGTGGGGCCGGTCCATCGCCCGTCGCACCGAAAGCAGAGCCCTTTGGCTCGTTTTTCTTGGATTTCTCGTTCGGTCAATCGCCTGACTTCCCCGCTGAATCTCGACGAGCCTGGATAGGTTCGGTTTGAGTAGGATCGGGTTGGATTTTGGGTTTGGTTGTTTACAGAGGCTGTTGAAGTCTGTGGGCAGTACTGGTTTGTGGGTTGGGTCGGTTTGGGTTGGGGTGGTAAGTGTTTGGGCCATGGCTTGGGTTAGTGTTTGGGTTTAGGGAAAGGGTTTGGCTGGATTGTGAGTGGGCCGGCCAGCACCCAGTATAGTAGAAGCTGGCTCCGATTTAAATACGAGTATGGCCCAGGCTTAACAAAAGCCCCGCCCGATTTGAGACCGTTAACCCGATTACGCTCCTCGACCCGTATTGCCAGGTCCATGGCGTCTTTCAACGTTTACAGGTTAAGTAAACGGATCTCCGCCTTCACTTCCTCCTTGAGTCCGTTTATGAACTGACCTTTTAAAAGGCTTTCCGGAATATCAGCTAAGGGGGCAGCCTTCTCTATGAAGGTGCGGCGGTATTCCACCACCGTTGTCGTTTGAGTGACGGGCAAGCCATTGCTCGTGCAACGTTCCCGCGTTCGTGGGTCGAAATTGGGTCAGCACCCTAAGCTTGAGGTCCTCCCAATGAATCATCGGTCTACGACGCGACTCCCACTGGTACCAGAGTGCGTCGCCGTCCATGGCGACCACTGCCGCCTGTAACTTCTATGCTTCGGCGAGTCGGTAGAACTGGAAATATTGCTCTCCTCGGAGTATCCATCCATCGGGGTCACTCCCGTCAAACACCGACTTGTCTAACTTCCGGTACTTCCAATTCCCACACGACTCATGATGGTTGTTGTTTCCACCGAAGCCTGGTTCCCAACTACCAAAACGAAGGCCGCTAAAACCACCCCCTTCGAAGGGTTGTTCAGCAAATCCGCCACCAAACTGAGGTTGTTCCACCTCTTCCTCCACCGGTATGGGTTGCGGCTTCGGTCGTGTCCTCAGGGCCTTGAGTGCGCCTCGAATCTCATCCATGACTTTGTCTTGGCGGCTTGCCGTCATGCTTACTTGTTGGGTGATATCTTACCGGAATCGATCCATCTTTCCCTCCATTGATTGTCTCACCTTGTCAATAGTTTCTTCCCGCTTCTTCAACAAGGTCTGCTGTAGCGAGTTCTCCCCTTCGCCGAGTTTTTCGAAAATTTCTTCCGCCCTCTCTTCCAGCGCCGCCACTCGCTCCGGCGTCACAGGCAACGGAACGCGTGAATAAACACTATTAACAGGAGTAAAGTCTGGTAGTTGATTGATTAAAGCTCAAAGGCTTGCGTAGCGTTAATGGCTTGAGGCCATCACTCTCCAAGTGAACAAATACAACTTTCTGAATGCCTACTTCTTTAGAGACAACTACTATTTATACTACCACTAGCTTACAAAAGTTGGCAAGGGCCTTAATTACTTTACTACTTGTCTTCTTCCAAGTTACCACAGTGAAAACCCAATAAGCCAAACTCCCTGCTCTGCTGTTGCTTTAGTGTGCCGTTGGATGAGTGTTGTTGGTGCCTTGCTGCTGTCTTGGGCGCCTGCTGTAAGTCAGAGTGATTGGTGGCCGCGGGTGCATTGCATAAAGGAAACAAGGATCACAAATTCCTTTTCTAAACCTCTAAATCAAACATGTCTCCGCTCCTCTGAATTATCACTAGGCAGTAGGCACTTGAGACATCTGGTTTGGTTAGTTTGCCAGTGCTCTCCATGTCAAGGTGGTACACTTGGAAAGAATGGAACTCATAATGTTTATGGTAGATATTCTTCTCATCAAAGTTTGAATAATCTTTTAGGAATACTTAACAAGAAAAATCCCAACTATTGGGGTTCTTCTCATTTTAGTCCGAACTATTCATTAACTCAAATTAACCCCAACTGTGAGAGGAACTTTCTCAAAACATCCAAAATGACCTACTACTTGTAAGACTGGTAAATTATTACTGTATTTTTTTTTATTCTATTGAAGACTAGATCTTTTTCCTTTTCATTACCTTGTCTAGCTTCTATCTCCACCCGACTTGAACCCAGGCCTTAGACCACGGCAACATTGCTCACCACTCCCTCAAGACCACTGCACCACTAGACCAACTCCACTACCTTGCCCTAGTCGGACAGCTAAGTATGTTGGTGTTGGTTGGAAGTGCAGCGAAAATTAAAGAAGATTGAGGCATAGAAAGATAGGGAGGCTGGGGAGGGTGAGGGAAAGGTTGCTCGGTGAAGCCGGCAGTGAAAATTGTGGCATTATTAATAAATTTGGGACTCTCAATTGGTTGATTAGCTTAATGAATAAGCTCTCTTAGTTTATAAAGGTGAGCGTAGTGCCGATGTCTTTTGATGGAGGATGTGTGAATTACGCAACTTCAAGGCGGTAGTAGCTGCTGTGTTTTTGAGGGAATGTTGTTTTTTTGTGGAAAGTTTGTGAAGGTGGCCTCAGTGATGGTTGGCTGTCGGTGGTGGTGGTTCAAGTGGCAAGTGATGGGGGGGGCAGCTATGGTGGATGGTTGCTCCTCCATACACTGTTGGAAAATTAGGGAAGGATATATATATATATATATATATATATATATATATATATATATATATATATATATATATATATATATATATATATATATATATTTTAAACTGTGGGTAAAGAAATGCATGAAAGGGAAAAAATTAATTAGATAAAAATATAAACATAACCAAAGCCAATTAAAAATTGACACACCAACCTTTTAACCCTGTGAATAGGTTAACACAAAAGGGAGGCTGTTTTGAGAAGGCTACCAACATAAATGGTATTATTCTAGGTTAAACTATAATTTGAATTAAAATGAGAAGACAAGTGTAGTTGAGATTATTTTTATAATTTTTCCGTTTCTATATTTTATTTTTGAGGCTATTGTACTCTTGGAGTAAAGTTTGATGCTCTTAATGATACTTGAGATTTTCTGATTTTGTTAAATGAATTGCCTCATGATAGCTTGAAGGCATGCATCATTTTGCTCTTAGCCCTCCTTTTGTGTTATTTATATATGGGTGGACGGGATGGTATTCCCTTGGCATCTCTTTAACTTGTATCTTCAAAAATAATCAAGAAAAGAAAATTGCCATTGCTCTCCTTGATTAGAGTGTTGAGAAGACAGAACCAAATGAACCTACCTATCAACTCATAGTACTGTAGCCTGTAAGAGTCATGTAAGCCTATGACTGTAATGTCATAATGAAATCCTGCAACCAGAGATATACCATAAGTCCATGGCTGGTTTTATTTTACTTTGATAATTTGTTGTATTGTATTTGAGCTTTGGGCAGTAGTTATCCATGAGAAATACAATAATACATTGTTTCAAAAAAAAAAATACAATAATACATCTCTCTCTAAATCTACTCTCCCTCATCTCCCTCCCCATTTTTTCTCATCCCGGTGTGGTCTTTGATTTTTTGCCCTTTTTATGTTCTGCTCTCTTGATTGACTGCAGGCTCTGGAAAATTATACAGATCTACTACAGAAGAACCAATTTTTTTCGGAGGAGAAAAGCAAACTCAAGTTTGCTCTTTCTTCCCTGGTGCGTTGCTTGTCATTGTTGCCATCAAATGGAAAAGAAATTCATTCTTCTGGACAGGTACCATCCTTTTTATTATTAATATTTTAAACATCTAACTTTTGGTTCTTTTTTTTTTTAGAAAGAGTTGGTTATTTTTTATTTTATTTTATTTTTTTCTTGCAAATATTGTTTATTTTTATTCTGATTCAAATTTAAACTTTGCCTTTTTTTGTTAGACAAGTAATAATGATCTGCTCTCCCTCCTTCCCCCCACCCCCCCTCCCGTGAGTAATTGTTTGAAAAACACATGAAGAATACCTTTGAATTCAGTAAAATCATATTCTTAATTTGGAGTTATTGACCTCTGAAAGCAGTTGTTCTTATTTAACTCAAATAAATATTTGACCTTTAGAGCTCATGAGAATTGTGTTCTAATTTAATACATTGATGTTGTACTTCCGTAGTTGGCTTAAATCAATAAAATTCAGATCTTACTAGGTCCTTTGTATGGCTTTATCTATCAAGGTCTTAGGAAAGCTTTTGTTTACAGGAAACGAGCTTGCGATTCAAACTTTTTCTTTTTTTTTTTTTTTTTTCCGTATTGGTTCTTAAGCCATTAAATTAATGAAATCTTTGACACAGACGTTGTATGCAGTCAGACAAACCAGATGTACAGTATCTTTCACTTGTATCTTTTTGCAACGCAGCCATTCTATTTAGTATAGAAGGGCCTAAGAGACAAGAGGAACAAAAATAATGAAACCATGGGCTAGTCCAAAGATTCACTTATCCTAGATTCCTAGTTAATTTGTAACCCTAGTCAGTAATCCATGGTCTTCAAACTCATTGTTCCAAAAAATTTGTTCATACTGTCTCAATTTTGTAATGCTGACTTTCGCAATGGTTACCAAGGAAAATTGCACTAAGGACTTCAACTTAGTAACGCAGCTTCCAACAGAGAGCACAAAACCCCCCCTAAAAGATGAAGTGTGCATGTGACCTTGTTCAAGCACCTGTTTACTTAGGGGCTGTTTGGTTGGGGGTATTCAACAAAGGGAAAGGGAATCAACTACCATGAATCCCTTTGTTGATGTTTGATAGACAAAATCAATCATTTCCTTTACCCCTCTCATTACCCCATTTTCCTCTACTCTCATTCCCCCCCCCCCCAAGTGAATCACTCAAACCCCCAAAATCCTCTTCAGCCAACTACGACCAACTTTCTAACTACCTTGTCCACCATTGAAAACACCAACCGACCACCAACACCACCGCCCAACCACCTCAACTATCACCTAACCACTGCAACTACCGCCCATACACCTACAGAATCACCGCTTAGACGCTAATAAACCACCGGCGCGCTAATGCCACCACCCAGCCACCACCGAAACTACCCAAATCCACCAGAAAAAAATACAATCTTCCCCAAAAATACCCAGACGGATTACCCACCACATTCATTACCAATTACCCACGAAAATCATCACACCCACCACAAAACCACCCAAAAAACCCTAACCATCTCAATAAGAAACCATAACCACCCCATAAACAACCTCCAAATACCCAAAAAACAACACATAACAATCTAAAAACATACAACCTTCTAGATCTACCAAAATATTACCTAAAAAAAGAGAGAGGGTTGACATCCACATTTACCCATGGAGTTGGTGCGGCGGTAGATGAGGGAGGGGTGGCGGTGTTGCAGGGAATGGGGAGTAGCGTCGCCGGAAGTGAGGGTGGGGGCCGATGAAGGGGGGTGGGGGAGCTTGGCGCCGCTGGGGGTAGGAGGCTTGGATCGGAGTTGGTTGTTGCCCTTGTTGGCTGTGCGGTTGTTTTCAAACTTCATTCCATTCTTTTGATGTAAAACAAACAACCTATTATCAATGAGGGAATTGCTTTCCATTCCCACACTTTCCCTTTCTTTAAATCATTCCCTTTCCCCTTTGCGAACCAAACGGCCCCTTAAAGTAGATTTCTCTTTTATATAAAGCAAATAAGTACAGATGAAAGTTAATCTTTAAATGACAGGCATTAATGTGCTTTAGCCAAGAGTTGATACTGGTGCTGCATCCAAAGTTGACACAAGGAGTATGGAAAAGCCTTTTCTACCAATGATATGATTCTACACTATTTATAGGGCTCTACACATGATGGGATACCATGTTGTTTGTTGTTTCTAGATGATATATATTATTGGGGGATGAGACTTGACTTGTGGCTAATTCTGATTGAAGCTGTGATTGCAAAATTTAGTGTGGTGTCATTATAGTGCTGTGGGTTTGAATGAGGATGTAGTATCTTAGATGAGGCATGTCCCATAGATGAACGTTAGACTTTAGATTGATATGAATACGTTCCTGAACTTATTTGTTATTTGCATGAAACACTTGTCATATTTGGCCATATAACTGCACCTTCTACTGCTATTTTCAGTCAGCCTTTATAACTTCAAATCTGAACTCTTACCATGTATCTGTCTTTAGAGAATCAGTTTTTAAATTATTCATGATGATGCAGACAAATGCTGAAAAAGAAGTGTTGCATGCTTTTGAGAGAGACATGCCTAATGATTCTACTGGTATGCAATGATTCTCAATACTATGCTTTGATCTTTCCTTTTTTTTAAATGCTTAAGATATAAGTACAAATTATTTAACTGTTATTATGAATAAAGATGATTGAAAAACAATGCTTACCTGTGCTGTAAAAGCTTTCTTGTTTGTGGTCATAAAATTTTGTATGCCTCGCTTGATAACCAGTAGTTTTCAATTTGTATATCTATTCTGCATTTGGAGGCAATTGCTCAATGCTCAGTGTTTGATGATAACTTAAAAAATGATAGTGTTTTCTTGACTTAGGTGACATACTCAAATATTACAGATTTTCATGACAATTCTGTTTGTTTTGTATACTGTGTTGCCCTTATCGGTATCTGCTTCACTGATGATATTTCTGCTTATTCTTAAACAAATTATTATTACTTTTATATTGTTTCTCTAAGGTCTTACGAAGAAAATCTTTCATTACAATATTTTAAGCCCTAAAATTGTTGTTGCATTTTCATTTTTGTCCCTTGTGGCTATATTTCTTAAAGGTTTCGTTAGTTCTTCATTTCTTTGGTACTTCTCTATTTCTTATAGGAAATTAAAGCTTGTCGTTTAAAATTTTCCTCCAATCCCTAGATCATAGTGCTTACACCATTAAAATTTTGGGCTTACTGTCAAAATATCGCCTGTTGAATTTTGATACAGCAATTTATGACAAGCTTCTCGTTTCTGTTTTTGCAAAGCATTTAGTTCATTAGAATCTTTGGTTTACTTTTCATCTGCTTCAGCTACTCAAATTTTTTGCCTATTTGGATATATATGACTAGGTCTTCTAGTCGCAGCTTTTATATCCTACCTACAAGAATGAAAAAGTGACAAAAGGAAGTTTTGCAAGAAAATTTTTTCATGCCTTTTATATAATCTGCCTTTTGTGCTTAATATTTGTCTATCTTTGTCACTTATTGACTCTTTTGACTACCCACAAAGTAAGTCATGGTCCTGTACCACCTGATAAAGCACCACCTTCTAAGCTATGAGAGAAAAGATATCATTAGAGAGAGAGAGAGAGAGAGAGAGAGAGAGATGGTGTTTAGGGAGAACGCTTAACTAGTGTCTAGATAGATAGAAAGAGAGGGAGAGAGAGAGAGAACTGGTATTTAGGGAGAATGCTCAACTAGTATATTGAATATATATCACACTTAACATATTGAGAGAGAGAGAACTGGTGTTTAGGGAGAATGCTTAACTAGTATATATATATATATAGAGAGAGAGAGAGAGATGCTGGTGTTTAGGCAGAATGCTTAACTAGTGTATTGAATATATATAACGCTTAACAGACTCAATGGAGAATGCTTTTCAGATTCAACTGGCGTTTAGGGTCTAAAATGCTTCTCATCTTCTTATATGAGCCTAGATGTTGTTTATAAGAAAATGTCTTTTCTATTGTTTTCAAAAAAAAAAAAAAGGAAAAAAAAAGAAAAAAAAAAAGAGATTTATAGCTAAAAAAAGAGGATAAGTTTTCATTTACTATATGTCATGTCGTTTTGGAGAGAAAATATTCACATAATTACTTCAAGTGTCCCCACGGTTATTACTTTAATAATAATTTATAGATTATGTCCACATGCTGGCTTTGGATAGGATTTTGAGGAAAAGATTTCAAAAAGAAGCTAATAGATAGAATTGATGACATGATGTGCTACTGTTCTCAGCTTGGCCTTGTGGTTGAATTTGAATCCTGCCATCCCACTGCAAGATGAGCTTATGTGTTGCACCGCGTTGGCAATTTTGTTTTTTGAACCTCTTGTCAGAAAGTGGTGTGTTCTAATTAAAGTAATGATTTTGAAAAAAGATTTTTTTTTTTTTTTTTTTTTTTTTGTCATGTCTTCAATGTAGGCCATATTTTGATCGTTGGCAAATTGAAGGATCTTGTGCCAGTTCTCGTCAACTGCTTCTATGGCTTAATGTCAGAGGCCTACTCTCAACCTCAACTTGATTCACATTCTTTTGACTGCATGCAATCTACACTTCATAGCATAGATCTAATTGTCCGTTACAAGGTGTATGGAATCAGCAAGTATCAACAAGATGTACATACTTCTATGTCCTCTAATCCAAGCACAGAGATCCATGCACAGGATGAGAAGTTCCCTTTACTTCTGTTGGATAAGTTGTTTGCTGTTTTCCCCATGCAACCAACTCGTGCTGTTTCTGAGGAGGTATTCCCTTTTTTTTTTTATAAGTGCTTACATACTTTTTGTGATCCTCGTGACTTACACAAAACATGTTCTGTTGTGATGTCTGCATGATATCCTGAATATTTTGTTTTCGGAATAGGCTGGTGGAGTTGCATCCTCATCATTTCCAATAAGAATATTCTACTTGAGATATTCTGATGATGAAAGTAGGATAGCTCCAATTTTAATTGCTTGCTAGGAATCTTGCGTAATAATCTAGAAACTAGAACCTATTTAGAAGAAGGTAAAAGTATTGTGAAAAAAATTCACTTTTGGACTATTTTAGTGCTTTTTGGAATTGAAATTCAGTCAGGACTGCTTTAAAATCAAGAAATTTCAAAATTCCTTAGTTTTCTGGTTAGATTATTTCTTCTCCAAGTGCTTTTGTTCAAGTGACTAAGTGTTAAGTATGGGATTCAAACCCATCTTATCTGCTCTAAAGTGGAGAATCTGACCATCCTCATCTTCATGGTGATTGGGTGAACTTCCAAAAATCTCGATTAATTCTCAAGTCAGATAACACAACTGAGGAATAACATAGGGATTAAGCTGTATATATATATGCTAAAACAAACTTGGAAAGCTAGAGACTACTATTACGAAACAAACTTGGAAAGCTAGAGACTACTATTACGAAACTAAATACCTAGAGTGAGAATATCATTTGCTACAACTATTATGAATGCTACAGAACACATAAAATGAAGAAATGCACTTTTGGGCCCATGATTCATTCCCATAATAATTTAGTTGTGCATTTACTATTAGCTGTATAAGGCGAGACATAAATTCCATCTCATCTCTTATAATCTAACTTGGTGAAGGTGACATGGCTAAGAACAGTGTCTTGTATGTATATTCTTTCAATGAGCTTGCTTTTTGTACTTTCATTGCATGATATTGTTGCTTGCTTTTCATGGTTTTTCACTTGTGTTCCTCTGAACATAGAATTATGCATGAAGATAATATCCTATAAAAGTTTGAGGTTGCTTTTCTTCTTGTGTTCTCCCCTGAAAGATTTAAAGAAGAATTTCTTATATGCATGTCTTATATGTATGACCTCTGTTGTCCTATAGAAAATAATTGCTACCTATGCAACTTGTTTAATCATGCTAGCTGCTGGATTTATAAGTGGTTGTGGTTGTTATTTGATTCACCTTTTTGTTTTTGGTTGACAGGATGATCACTATGATCGCAGATATTACATATTAAATGCTGTAATATCCCGAATATTCTTTACTTTCAACCAATACATCTCCCCGCTTCCTGTTTTGTGCGAAAGGTTCTTGAGCTTCTTAAAAGACTGGCTTTTTGAGGTTTGTTCTCTTGTTACATATTCGTTGAACTCGACAAATAATATATGACTGGCTACAGATTCTGCATGTGGGGGTAGTGAACTGACTTTGAGGCCTTAAGGTGAAGCCGGACAGGGGCATTTGGAGAATGAAAATACAACATCTTTGAGCTTGGGTGTGTCCTTCAAATATTTACATCAAATCAGGCTAGACCAGAAATGTTATACCACATAAGATTAATACCTGTAAATTTTTTAATTAAAGTAGTTTATTATAGGGGAAGAGAACACAATTTTACAGTGGGTTAAACTAACTTTGCTACCGTATATTTATGGGCTAAGGCTGCTGGGGTTTTCTAGATTATACAACAGGGGAGATACAAAGGAACTGGGCTATTTTGTAAAATTATTAAGTAATTCTTTGCAAGACTGTGTCCTTTTGTTGTCTTCTCTTATTTTGCTGTGTTTATTAATATTTTTCTTATGTGTAGAGAGAGAAATAATTGTTTTTAGGAAATTAAAATAAACACCCTGAATATGATACTGAGTCTTCTGGCAGATCTTATTACATGAATCAATAATCTGCATGGGATAATGGATGTGGCATGTACAGAAAACAATTGATAATTATAATTGATGGATTTTATTTTTCTCTGTAGAATAGCATAGTTATCACAGTTGTAGAAATCATGTGATGATGAGTCTGGTAAACTTTAATGAGAATCTAACACAATTGACTTTGGTATATCTGCCAGAAGTATATTTTCGAGTTCAAGTTAAATTCCGGTTCTTGAAATTACTTTATTTCTCTGGCCTTCCCCTAACTATTCCGTTGCAAAATGGACATTAGCTGCTTTGATGACGTATGACGCCCTTATTGTCTTTACTGCCAACTTATTCAACGAGTTATTCTCGTGTGGATTTACAGTCATCGACCCATTAGTCACTTCATAGACCTTTTCTTCTGGCAATTTTATCTCTATTATTCATATTATTTTGGGCCTATCATCCTTGGAAAATTGATATTGTGATTATTGCTATATGTTTCTCTTCTTTATCTACTATGTAACATGTTTTTGGTTTCAACTTGCAGTTGTATAGAAGTAACGTTTCCGATAAAGCATTTTATGACAAGCAACTGCCTTCTCTGGTTCCTTTTATTCCATACCTTGTATCAACTGTAGATGACCAAGATCATCACCTTCTAAAGGTCTGTTCCCTCGCTCATACCTTGATTTTATTCCACTAAATTCCAAAACTTATGGCAATGACTTTGAAGATCTTGGCAGGCATCTTCTTGTGTAAAAAGATGTGATCTAATAAATTCAGAAACTATGGCACACGCTTTTAGGAAGAGATATAGTAATGTAAACATACAAATTAATCTAAATAATTTATACCCGTAATACCTAACCCATCTCCTATCTCTAATCTTGGTGTTAAAATTATTTGATCAAGTTGCTCGTTACCTACTTTAATCAACTTCTAAAAAAGCGTGCCTATAGGTTGTGTTGCAAATAAAAGAAAACAGGGGAAGTACATCATTACCTTGTGGATGTATTGGAATTTTCAGTGGTCTGCTGAATCGTCGATATTGTGATTCCAATGTAATTTATATTTCCATGTTTTCCTATGATTTTTTTTTATTGACATATTGTACGAATTTTTTTTTTTTTCTTAAAAAATTATGCACCAAGGATTGTTTTCTGCATAATGATATCTGGTCCATCTTGATGAAATAACAAGGGAAGGCAGATTTAATTATTATAGTGTGTAAAGCCATTTATAAAAATAATAAAAATGTAAGTGCTTATATAGTCACTTACGTGAAATTTGTAATTCTTGTAAAAGAAATCAGAACATAAGTGCTGATACCAATGCAATACTAGTTGAGATTCTAGATTAAGGTGGAAACATGGGACATAATTCTTGTAAAAGAAAAGTAGGTCATGTAACTCTTGAACTAATTAGAAATAAGGGGATGTTGGTTTGGATGGGGTATAGGGAATGAAATTGAAACGGATAAAGGGGGAAAGGAAAGTATTACCCTTTGATATAATGTGCTGTCTGTGAGTTATTCACCCCCTTCCTCTTCTCTCCACCGATGCTCCACCAACTCCATCACTCTTATGTTGATCAAAGGTTGTTGGGTGTTTAAGGGTTAGGGGTAAGAGTTATTTCTGTGTGTGTGTATGTGTCTGTGTGAAGGGGGGTGGGGGGGAATTATGAAGGAAACTGGGGAATTGTAAGCGTAAAGGGGATGGAAAAACTGAACAAACAAACATTTTTAAGGGAATTAAGATAGTTGATTACCTTTCCCATTCTTGAAATTCCCAAACCAAACTCCCCTTAATTGGTAATGAATAGTCTACTTCAAGTTGTTTGGAATTCTATAGTTGTGGTTTATAAGTGTAAAGTTGATGAAATATTTTTTTCAGTCTGTAGTGTGGTTAGGAGAGACCAGATGTTATTTTGTGAGCTGGGATGGGTCAAGGGTGGTTTGGGTTTCAAACGTATAGTTCCTGAAAACAATTTTTTGTTGATGATGATTGTGGGCTTGTGGCACCAGTTCTTATGAATTCGGAACTCTATGATGACCATCTGAATGCCATTCAGGTATGAGAGTTGTGTTTATGACTTGGATCTGTTAAGAGCAATAACACTTACATTTAGAAATCTTTGGCTAATCACTCAGGGCTGTTCTATCTTTGTCTTATGTTGGCTGGAGGACATCTCCACTTTTTATCCAATCATAGATTTTTTTTTCTTACATGAGACTGTTAAGGTTTAATAAGTGTAGAGGTGTTTTATTGTGTCTCTCTTTTCGTATATCTCCAGCCTACTTCGGCTGGGGAAAAATAGGACCTACAGAGGATCAATGTTCTTTTTCCTGTTAGCTTAGCTGGATAAATATGTGCAATGGAAAGAGAACATTTATTGACCAAAATGGAGAGTTACAAGCTACATAAATGGGAGTAGGTTCTGCTTGTAAATTTATATTCTTGCTCATGTAAGGGAAAAAAGATATCACCTATAAGCTGATTTATTTATCTGGATTTTCCACAATGGTGAATCACATATACAAGCTGTTACTTCAAATTAAAGATTATTAATAGTCTTAGTGTCTTGTATAGTTGTATGGTTGTTGAACTCTATAAGAGGATAATCAATACTTCCTCCGTTCTGTTAATATTGCAACAATGGACTTTTTGCACTATTCATCACTCTTGTTTGACCTTATAATATGATTTATACGTTAAGCAAAATATAATCATGTGAGATCTTGTTGGATTCGTCTCATAAAATACTTTCACAATATCAACTTTTCATAATTTTTACTCTTATACAATTATAGATATTTAGCATATAAAATGTGCATTGAAATGCGTAATTTCATCCTTGTTGCAATATTAATAGAACGGAGGAAGTATTATTTATCGTCTGCTGAAAAATATATTGGTTTCGTGACTCATGATGATTTTTGACATCATACCTGATATCTGGATAATACAGTGTTCTAAATGGTTTTTGTTTCAATTAGCCTTGTCTGATTCTATAATGTTTTTGTCCACTTATGTATACTTATTTAAAATAAATTGCAGGCTTTTACTACAGCATTTGGGAATTGCAGTCCTGAATCATCATTAAAAATGGCTTGCCTGGAAGCTGTTGAAGAGATGCTTGTTCTTGTAAGCTATCATAAACTTGCATTTATGGTTTTATATTTGTTAACAAAATAATTTATACAAACAGAAGGGTGGTGGAGAGGACTATCATCCTGGTATCTCAAGGATAATATAAATTACTGTCATAAACTGCAGAAACTGTTTTTTTTTTTTTCTTTTATATATATATTTCTAATAAGCTCAACAAGAGAAAGATTTGTCATCAGCTGAAAACTGTGACAGTGAAGATAGAAAAGCTTACTATTTTGTCATCAGTTGCTTTACTATGTGAAATCTGTGAGAGTGAAGATGGAGGAGACAAGAGATAGAGAGAGTAAGGATCAGTTGCTTAGCTATGTGGTCATTGTGAGAATGAAGACAGAAAAGGGGGGGGAGGAATTGAAGGAAACTAATTTTATGTGTCATTGTGACTTGTGAGAATGAAGATGGAAAAGGGGGGAAAACCCCGGGGGGGGGGGGGGGGGGGGGGGGGGGGGGGGGGGGGTTGGGTTGGGGTGGCGCTGTTGAAGGAACCTGAACAGAAAATATTTGTTGGTCAATATCTTCCACAGATACAAAATTGGCCATCATGGTTCAGTTATAAAATAAGGAAAATTGACACTAGCAGTCTCAACTATCAACGTTCTTTAAAAGGATCAAACTATTGATTAACTCATAGCAATCCCAATTAGAGGGGGATCCTTCTCAAAACAGTCCTTGACCTCTTATGAATCATTAATGGCTCCATGTAGGCACCTCCCTTCATTCGCTATCTCTTTCTCTCTCCTTTCCTTTCCTTTCCTCCCTCACGCCCTTTGGTTGTATGAGGTAATATTTTGAAGTTGGTCGTCTTATTAATTTTATTAACCTTAAGGTGTCATGATGATAACGGTTGATTTTGGATTACCATGTACTATGTGATAACCATGCTAAAGCCACCTTTGCTAATTGCAGAAACAAGAAATCCTATTTTCAGATGCCGCTGATAAAGAAATACTGGACTGTCAGAAGACTTGGATACACGAGATTGGGCTGCTTCTGAATTCAATTAGCAATAAAAGGCCATCAAGCTTCCGTGTATGAGCACAGCCTGCCTTTGTAGATATCACAAATAATGGCTTCATGTTTCTTTTTGGCTTTCATAATGACTTAATTTTCCCCTACATGTCATTGTATCAATTTGACAGGCAGTGTTGCATCTTTTGCTTCGCCTAGGACAAATTGGACTGTCAAACAGCGATCTTGCAGTGGAATATGACAAACTACAGGATGAATTGCAAAAGTATTACTGCATAAAATCAGAGAATGGTGAATTATATCTCTTTTTCTCTTTTCTTTGCGGGTGTCATCTTCATCATCAATAGTGATGTTTTAGTCTTTGGATCAAATAGGATAACAAGATGAGCGAGAGGAATTACATTTATACTTTAGTCTAATTATTATCTAACTGTCTGTTAACTTGACTGTTTCATCCTCCAATCATTGGTGTGCTCAATTGTGTAACTAAAGATAGTGGTATTTAAAAAATAAAGCATTCATTTAATACTATACCCTAATTGGCTCTGTTGATAAACAGGATGATTGGAGATTGCAGGGACACACCTTCTTTTATTTTTCAATTTGCTAAAAGGTGGTCACAGCAATTTTACTATTAAGATGAGATTAATTACATCTCTAGGATTGATGTGGTGTAGCCATAGTGAAAGGAGTGATAATCTTAATGTGTACTATATAGTTTTCTGATTTTATATTCCTTTTTGGCTTCTTCATTGTTCATACCAATTTTTTTAAAAAAATGTGTTTCATATACGTTCATCTCCTTTCCTTGCTTGTCAATCTTTTTTGCATTTGCTCCACCGCTTTCTTCTGTTTGTTTTTAAGATTCGGTATTAACCCTTCCCTCTACCCCAAGCATATTGTGCTGTCCTTTGATCATATTCTTTTTGTATTGCAGGTCATATATCTTATGGTCCTTTTATGGAACTTTCCAAAGAATCTCAAGAACTTTCCATTTGCTGTCTCTATTACTTTTCTTGTCTGAAAGGACAATTACTTGCCTCACTGGCATTATGCTGCTTATGTAAGCAATTTCTATCTTGTATGCTAGAAAATTGATGTCAAATGTAAGTTCACCTGAAACAATAGAATTGGTAGTAACATGTGGTATTATACATTGAAGTTCAGTACTTACTCTGTTCTTTGTTAATTGCAATGTTGAGGATTTCACGCTTGCAATGCATATCTTTTACCATTAATAACTTGAATTATGTTTTTAGTAAGAATTGTATAAATTTACTATTTTGAAAGTATACATCAAACAAAATCTCTCATGACTATTTTTCCAAATGTATTAATTAAAAATAGGCGATCAAAAGGGTGTGTGTGAGTAATTAAAAATTCCAAACGTTGCGATTAAAAAAGACCGGAGGAAGTATTATATCTAGATTCATTGGAGCATGTCAAAAGAGACTATTTATGCTGCTTGCTACAGTGTCTGGATGAAATAGTTTAGCTTAATTCATGAGTAGTCGTCTTCTGTGGAGCCTTAAACCATGAATCTTGATATTTGGGAGGGAAGTTAAATCTTTCCTTTTTAGCTATTTGGCTGCTGTGCTTAAATATTTTTTTCTATTATTGATTTCAGCTCATTCCTTGGAGCCCTCTGTCTTATTTCGGATCATAGAAGTCCTACATTCATCTTATAACGCTGGTCACATCCATGTTGTTGACTACATCAGTTTCTTGGTCACTTTACTTTCACAATATGAAATATCTGGTAAGTGATGTACCCATTTCATTACCGTTGCCATTAACTTTCACTATATGAAATATCTGGTAAGATCAAGACGGTAGAGTTGAAAATTCAGTTCCTATGGAACACAATAAGCAACCTCAAGGTGAATAGTAGCTTCAGTGGAAAGGATTGTTAAAGTGACCCTTGCTAGTAAAATGATTCACATGTACATGGCCTTTATCAAACACAGAGGTGAATCTGAGGTACCCATTGGGGGTGGGTGATGTAATTTTGAACCCATGGAATTGGCTCTCTATGGAAAGAAAAAATGTGGAATGAATTTTGTAGCAATTGTTAATTGTGATGTTTCTTATCTAAAGAAGGAATTCATCATCAGGGTTTGATTTATTATTTTCTCATTGAATATTAAGGATGTCTTGTGACTCTTGTCTGGTTTTCTTCGTGTATGACAATTTATTTTTCTTATTCAATCAATATAATACAGTTTGTTGTTTTTTGCCTTGTCATTGCAGAGAAAACCTGTAGCACAATATTGAAGGAGGCTAATCTAGCAACTTTTAGATCTGTCACTGGACGTGTCTGCTGTTTCCTAAGTCAGATGGGAGATCCATCACTGCTTTTTCAGATATTAGAGGATGTTGTTCTTGACCATATAGTGAGTTGGCTAATTTTTTTCACATCTTTTGAGTAGCTCTCATTGTTGTTTACTCTTTCTCCCGTGTCCCAGTCTTTTATATTAACCCTACTCTTTAGTGGACTATCCAAACTGTATTAATTTTGAATATGCTGATTCATCCATACAACTGGTGTAATTTCTCATGGAATTATGACTATCTTTTTTTCCTCAGTCACAGAAATTACCTATTCATAACACTTGTGCATTAATGGGGATGCTTATAACTGTGGACTCCAGACCGACAAGACTTTCAGAGAAAAGCATCATTAAACTTGGTGATATTATGTTGAGTTACATGATTGATGTTGCACTTGTAAGTGTTATTTTGTTTCACTCTTGCTCCTTAACCTCACCATTATTCTGTCACAATTGGCATGCCTATATGCACACACTTGTGCCTTTTTTTTTTGGCTTGCTGTCCAAAATTGTATTGAGTGATTTTTTTTTTTTTTGAAAAATTCCATTTATGTTTTCAAAATTGTGTGAAAGTTGCTCTTGTGGAACTGTCACATTTTGATGGCATACCTCTTTTTTCTATTGACCATGATTGTAAAAATTGATTAAGCCTTTTTTGTCACTGCTGCATGTGTGAACTCATTCGTTTTTTCTTATCATATTACTAGTTTTGTGCCCCGTGCAATGTCCGGGTTGTTTATTAAATTTTGAAATAAATTTTTAATCTAAATGTCAAATTTCAAAATATATCTCTAATACAAAATTAATTAGAAATTGATGTGTTTTTATGACGATTTAAATTATGTAGTAGTCATTTAATTGACTAATAATAATATTGGTATTTTTTTTTAAAGTTATAATCTATTTCTTTTTTGAATAAAATTATAATTCAATTTACACGTATGAAATATTGGTATTTAATCGAAAATAAAACTCTCAACTAACAATTTTACCCTAAAATTCTATCCAAATTTGATTGAAAATAGAATTCTAAACTAATTTTTTTACCCTATGAAGTCTATCTATATATATCCAACGTGACGCGACACTTGGCGAAAAATTAGAATGCCAAGTGTCGTTGCCTCGTGGCCTGGCAAAAAGTTTAGCTTTATATATTAACTAGTTTTGTGCCCGTGCGATGCCCGGGTTGTTTATTGAATTTTAAGATAAATTTTTAATCTATATGTCAAATTTTAAAACATATCATTGATACAAAATTACTTAGGAATTGATGTGTAATGTAGTAGGACTAATAATAATAATATTGGTGAAAAATATTTTTTGACCATGTCCGAAATGACTCGTGACCCGACCCGATTGACAGGTCTACACACAGTAATAAAATTACATTAGATTGTGAAGTATATTATTTTAATTGATTAGAATATATTATAAAGGATTTTTTTAGTGAAAAACTACTTTTTAAACTCCAGATTTGCGAAAAACTACCCTAAAGACAAAATGTTGTAATTAACTACCTTATAAAATTTAAAATGTTGTAATTGACTACCTTCTACCGAAATGACACATTTGACTTTTATTTCTCGACGTTGACCATGTCACGTGACCCTTTAATGACTTTAATCCCCCTCTTTTCCCCAAATTTTCCCGCTTTACACCAATTCAGCCCATATAATTATCAAAGGGGTTGCAAATAAACAATCTAAAATATGATTAATCGTATTGCTAAGGAAAAGAGTTGGTATAAAGTGGGAGAATTTGGGAGAAAGGGGGGAATTAAGTCGTTAAAGGGTCATGTGACCCTCACATGTGAACCTCACATGACATGTTCAATACTTGAAAATAAAAATCAAATGTGTTATTCCGGTGAGAGGTAGTCAATTACAACATTTTATATAATATAAGGTAGTTAATTACAATATTTTATACTTTATAAGGTAGTTAATTACAACATTTTGTTTTTAGGGTAGTTTTTTCGCAAAATTCAAAGTTTAAAAGGTAGTTTTTCACAAAATATCCTATTATAAATGATGGATGTGGTACATTTTGAACTAATTCCTTCGCTCCAAAAAAATATTATGATATAAAAAAAAATTATATGATAATTTATGAGCGTTAAAATCTAATTATTTTTTGAATAAAATTATAATTCAATTTGTACATATGAAATATTGGCATTTTATCGAAAATAAAACTCTAAATTAAAAAATTTATTTTAAAATTTAATAAAATTCTAAACCAACTTTTTTATCCTACAAATTTAATTCTATATAACTCTATCATGCGTACACGATACTTGGCAAAAAATTGGAACGCCAAGTGTCGTTGTCTCGTCACCTGGCTAAAAGTTTAGCTTTATATATTAGTTATATGATTATTATATGATTTTGCACTTTTGGATGTCTTCCATCTAGATAATTACATCTCCAAGCTTCCATCTTGACTTACATTTATCTCCACTTTTTTATTCTTTTCTTTTTTTTTTTTTTTTTTTTTTTTTTTTTTTTTTTTTTTTTTTTTTTGTGGTTTGTTAATGGTGATCAGATTCTATATGTGCTCTTTTCTGCATGATATGTGTATGTAGGCCATAAATACTGTTTAGGCCATTGGAACATATTTTTTTGGCAAGTTTTTAAATCTTATATTCCTTGCAGATCTTTACAATAGTGGAAAGACGTAGTTTATTAAAAGAAGGAAAATGAATCCCTTTTTATCCCTATCCCGCTCCCTTTTCTATTCTTTACGTAGTATAATTGAAAATAATCCCCTCTAGATTTCCTTGAAATTCCCTAGTCCAAAAACACTATATGCCTGATAATGATGATAATTTTTTTTCTGGTATTGTGAACTTCTGTTTTCAATGGTTACTAGTCGATTGTTGAACATTATATGAGGGCTCACTTGAGTTTATGGTCTTTATGCAGTTGTTTCCGGTACCCGAGGAGGAGCAAAAGGCATCCAGTAACTTCTATGCATGGCACGATTATCTCCTTCCTTGCTTTTTTCTGCTGGATAGAAGCTCCACATTTTGTAAACTTCTACTTGATAGAATGGTATCTTTGGTTGGTGAATCTGGTGAATTACCTTTCTTGAGAGACACTCAGCTTACACGAGATCATCCTAGAAAAATAAGAGCTCTTGTTTCCATTTTTATAATGATGTCCATGGATAGCAAAATGCGAACAGTTCTTTTTACATGCCAGACAGAAATTGATAACATTTTTCAGAGCATACTCTTACTACAGGTTTGTGCATTGGTTATGACTTTCATCTCTTGAAATTCCTTTTTTTTTTATAGGACAACCCTTGAAATCCTTCTGTTTTTGAGAAATTCAATCCTTTGTTTCTGAATTTAGGGGTTAATGATAGGATAATATTGCTTTTGCATTTGATCTCTTGAAATCATGGACTCCTTTGTTACATTGTACTCCACAGTGTCGCCTTTCATCTTAAAATTGAGGCTTAAGCTTCTATTAAAGCTGGAACTGAGGCTTTTTGAACTTTAAGTAGTGTTTAATTTGACTCTTGGCACAACACGTTAATTGCCCTGTTCTTTTCCTTTGAAGCAGTCCTCCATGATGAGCAGCATGAACATTGAACAGCAGCATCAGGTACAAAGTTCTGTAGAGAGGTTGAAGAAAAAAATTAGTGAGATGTTCAGCATGACATCCTGATTTTAAATGCACTTTCAAGTCAAGTAGTACAACAGACTTGATCTTCAATCCCGGTGTCATGTGGTAATAATATTTATCTTATTGGGCTTTATCTTTTGCTCTCTTCATTAATGGCATTCTCTCTTATTGTATTGTATAACATATTCAGTGCATTATCTTCTATCTTCCACCCCCCCCCCCTTTCCCCCCACCCTCAAAATGTTTGTAAGAAAACCATTAAAAAAAAAAAAAAAAAAAAACAGAGAATTATGTTGAGAGATTGGTATGAGTGTATAACTTCATGTGGCTTGTGATCTCTGATATTATCGTTGCAACTTAATTTCTGGAAAAAAATATACATTGGAAAAGCCAAATTTAAACCATTACTATATTAAAAATAACATTATAGAGAGAAACTGAAGTATTATACGGAGTATGTGATTGTGTATTCTGGAATCTGGATGGCCAGCCTCACTCCTGCAAATGCTCTTATGTTCTTGAATCTTGATTTTTGTGCTTGCTGATTCCTTATATTGTTATGATAATTTTTTATTATGTAATTACCTGTATTCTGAAAATGGTTGATAGTATAATAATACGTACTTTTTTATATTAGATGTACTGAATTAAGACATTGAGTCATTTCTGTTCTGATAAAAAAAATATACGATTTCCTCTTTTTAGTTGTACTTTGCCTCTTTTCTTATTAAACTTTGTGAATTATGGCCATTTTTTCGTACTGATATATACAAAAATAGTCATGCGTGATCTTGTTAGGAAATACGTAGTACATGTTTTGTTGGTGAATATGCCATTCTAAATGGCAGAAAGCCATATAATATTGGGTGTTTGTTTCAATTTTTTTCCTCAAGTCTAGTTATAATTTGCTCCCCAGTTTGGTCTTTTGGGTCAAGTATCTCTATTTTCCCATTCTTTATGCTGCTTGTTTTCAAATTTCAATTTCTCACTTTAACTTCATGCAGCCAGCTTAACTGCTTAAGCATCTAAGCTATATTTAGCTCTTCTGCTTTGAGCTTTTGAGTGTTGGCAACCTGATCACATATGCTCTGCTTCGTTTAATTAAATTGTTATGAATTATGATGGCAAGTGTAAAATACAAATGCTTCCAAAACTAGTACAAGGTATTTATTTTGAATTTTATGAAAAAAAAAAATTATTGTTTTCAACTTTTAGGTTCATATGGTTATTTACAGAGTAATAGCTAGCTCCTAGATGTTCTGCTTAATTTCACTGCCAGTTGATTTATTCAAGGGTGAAAATCTAGTTATCTGGGTGAATTAAGGTATATAAGTTGCCAGAAAGTATAATATTTTGTTTGTGAGAAATATTTTGCTTATTCTTTGCTCTCTTCTCTTAGCAGGGATTATCATTGTGAAAATGGTGGATATATATCACGAAATACACCAAATTTGAATATATACTTCTCCAGGCTACCAGAGTTGTCGTAGCTGCAATTCAAATGACGGGAGCACTGTTGGGGCTAAGTCGTTACTCACACAATTTTGTTAGGTATATGCTAAACTTGTCTCTATAGTTTAGACTTGGGTTTATGTTCACTGTGGAGCATACATGACTTCTTATATGCAGATGTTTGGAAATTTTCATTAATATTAGTGCTGTAAACTTTACTGTAATATGATTGTGCCCTTCTGAAATTCTTATCCGGTAACTACGAAGCTGATTCCTGCTTAGTTTATCTGATCATATAAATATATGAAGTGTATTTTACTCCGTTCCCATTTGTTTTTTACGTTTCCATTTAGGGTGTTCCTTTTTATTCTTTACATCTTTCCTTTTCAGGTCATTGATTTTAGACAAAATTATCCTTGCTATATAATTAAAGGGTAATGTTATATATATAAGCATTAAATATACTTTTGGAAATTGTATAAAATTAGGAATTTATGACAAAAACACGCGTAAATCAGTGTTATTAGTGTTTATATTTTGATGATTTTTTTAATTTTTTAGGATTTTTAAGTGTAAATTTAATGCTTATATGTAGCCCTAAGGGCTATGTATAACATTTTCCATAATTTAAATACTCAATTGCCATCTACTTTTCATGTGTAAGGCCCTGTTTGATTCACCTTAATTTTGCTGAACTGAAATTATTTTTACTGAACTAAACTTAATTTTATTGAACTGGAATTATTTTTACTGAACTTAAATTATTTTTACTGAACTGAAATTATTTTTACTGATTTTCTGTTATAATTCTTCTTTAAGAAAACTGAATTTTACTGAACTGAACTTATTTTTATTGAACTGAAATTATTTTTACTGAAGTGAAATTAATTTTACTAAACTGAACTTATTTTTACTGACTGAAATTATTTTTACTTAATATTATTTTTTTAAGGTGAAGAGAACAAGACCTAAATGTACTTTTTATAATATTTTAATTGGTTTTCAATACTCATTATTACTTTCTCTCTCGTATCTCTTCTACTTTTGCCTACTCTTTTTACCCCACATGTACAATATTCCCTTTTTAACTACAATTGTGCCTTTAATGATTGAATTTATGACAATTTACCTCAAATTTACACAATTTCTTAATAACCGCGTATAATTCCAAACGTTAAGAACAAAAGAAAACGGAGGGAGTAGAAAATTATCTCCATACTCTGGCAATTATACCATTCTGGTGTTTTACTATAAGGTCTATAACATGCGCACATCCATGACTACAACGATTAACAAGTGATTTCAAACCATATGTTTTTTTTTTTTTTTTTTTTTTTTTTGATCCAAGAGAGGATATTACATCCAAAGAGAAAAAAGAAAAAACAGTAAAGAAAGTAACAAAACAAAATAAAAATAAAAGAATTAAACACTAAGCAGGAACTAAACGGGGCATTGCTACCCCCTCTAGCATCCTCTTGAAGTATCTTCCCAAGTTCATCCGGAGTTTATGATATTCAATTGAGTCTTGAGAGACGCCGCAATTAGTCAATCAATCCGCCGCTCGGTTTCCTTCCATGTAAATATGGATCACTCGAACTTCTCATCTTGAATCCTCGATTAGCTTCTGACAATGATTTATGTCATGCACACATTCACCACTGCCTCTATCTCCCTGCTGCTGTAGCAGCTTCACACAAGCTTGATTTCAAACCATATGTAAGCCTGAAGTATGTGAGGGAAAGGGAAGTAAATTGACTGCATACACTAGCTCTGCTAAATAAATTAACGATCTACTGATGTAATACTTCCTTTGCTCAATTTTAGTTGATATGTTTCCTATATCACGCTTGACAACACGCAAGTTCAATGATTAATAATTTTAATTATGAATAAGTAAAATTTATTGAAAGTTGATATTATGAAAATATACATTGAGATGATTTTAACAATATCACACATGATTCTTCCAAAAAAAAAAATGTCACACGTGATTATTTTTTATTCATAAGCATAAATTGCAAAAGCTAGTTAAAATATGTTTTGTAAAAGTGTTGAAAGTCAAAACGTATCAACTAAAAAAGAACGAAGTAAATCTGAGAAATATGAGGGATGCCAGGATTGAGTAGAAAGTGTAATAGTTGTAATATAGGCCTATAGTTTGATAACTAGTTTAAGTCATGTGTCATGCTATAACATTAACATTAATTTAACAATTATATATTAACAAAGAATTACATTTATAAACTTCAAAAAAAAAAAAAATGTTTTACCTTTTTTTTTATATATACAATGATGCATGTAAAGGGTAAATGCTATTGATGCGTTAGACTTTATAAAAAAAATAAAATAAAAAATTAGGGGTTATTGATTATTTAGAAGCCATACTATATATCTTATCATATCCCTATTTTGTTGATACAATTTTGACATGCGCATTTGTTTATACAAGTTTAATTAACTTTAACTTTATTTTTCTATATATAAAAATCAATTTTTTTTTTTTTAAAAAAGTGAGTTATTCCTATGTTTTTATTATAATATATAAGTCAACTAATTAACATAATGAAAAATCAAATACTATTATAAAAAAAATAAAAAAAAAAATATTAGCATGAGATTATTATATAGAAGTAAGGTTTTTCCTAATAATAATATTAACATGAGAATATTATGAAAATATTAACATGAGAATATTATAGAAATATTGGAGAATATTACAAAAATTAATTAATATAAAACATACACATATAAGAATATTTCATTAAGAGAATATTACAGGCTATAAATATTTTTCTTGGAAAATTGATGAAATAAAAAATAAAAAAGGAAAGAAAAATTGGATGGAAAATTTTTAAGTAATGAATGACATGTGTCATCACTGATTTCGCTTTTAGTATTAAGTTATTGATGTGAGGGAAAGGGAAGTAAATTGACTGCATACACTAATTCTGCTAAATAAATTAACGATCTACTGATGTAATACTTCCTTCGCTCAATTTTAGTTGATATGTTTCCTATATCACGCTTGACAACACGCAAGTTCAATGATTAATAATTTTAATTATGAATAAGTAAAATTTATTGAAAGTTGATATTATGAAAATATACATTGAGATGATTTTAACAATATCACACATGATTCTTCCAAAAAAAAAAATGTCACACGTGATTATTTTTTATTCATAAGCATAAATTGCAAAAGCTAGTTAAAATATGTTTTGTAAAAGTGTTGAAAGTCAAAACGTATCAACTAAAAAAGAACGAAGTAAATCTGAGAAATATGAGGGATGCCAGGATTGAGTAGAAAGTGTAATAGTTGTAATATAGGCCTATAGTTTGGTAACTAGTTTAAGTCCCGTGTCATGCTATAACATTAACATTAATTTAACAATTATATATTAACAAAGAATTACATTTATAAACTTCAAAAAAAAAAAAAAAAAAAAAAAAAAGTTTTACCTTTTTTTTATATATATACAATGATGCATGTAAAGGGTAAATGCTATTGATGCGTTAGACTTTATAAAAAAAAAAAAAAAAAAAAATTAGGGGTTATTGATTATTTAGAAGCCATACTATCTACCTTATCATATCCCTATTTTGTTGATACAATTTTGACATACGCATTTGTTTATACAAGTTTAATTAACTTTAACTTTATTTTTCTATATATAAAAATCAAATTTTTTTAAAAAAAAGTGAGTTATTCCTATGTTTTTATTATAATATATAAGTCAACTAAGTAACATAATGAAAAATCAAATACTATTATAAAAAAAAATTAATAAAAATAAAATATTAGCATGAGATTATTATATAGAAGTAAGGCTTTTCCTAATAATAATATTAACATGAGAATATTATGAAAATATTAGCATGAGAATATTATAGAAATATTGGAGAATATTACAAAAATTAATTAATATAAAACCTACACATATAAGAATATTTCATTAAGAGAATATTACAGGCTATAAATATTTTTCTTGGAAAATTGATGAAATAAAAAATAAAAAAGGAAAGAAAAATTGGAGGGAAAATTTTTAAGTAATGAATGACATGTGTCATCACTGATGTCACTTTTAGTATTAAGTTATTGATAAGTCAACTAAGTAACATAATGAAAAATCAAATACTATTATAAAAAAAATAAAATAAAATAAAAAAATATTAGCATGAGATTATTATATAGAAGTAAGGCTTTTCCTAATAATAATATTAACATGAGAATATTATAAAAATATTAGCATGAGAATATTATAGAAATATTGGAGAATATTACAAAAATTAATTAATATAAAACCTACCCATATAAGAATATTTCATTAAGAGAATATTACAGGCTATAAAGGAAAATTTTTAAGTAATGAATGACATGTGTCATCACTGATTCCGCTTTTAGTATTAAGTTATTGATTGATTTTGGAACGATTTCCATAAAAGGGATAAACGATGATCAATCAATAACTAATGTTGTTTTTCCCTCTAACTTTTAATTAATAATCTAAATTTTTTTTTAAAAAAAAAAATCCATTGATGGATTATATGCAAGATTTTCCATATATTGACCAATCATTGACATTATACAAATGTATTTTAGAACATTTATAGCATTATACAAATGTATTAACCAATACATTTCCATGACTTTTATTTAATTATACAAATGTATTTTAGAACATTTATAGCATTATACAAATGTATTAACCAATATATTTTGCTATAAATGTTCAGCAAAATTAAGGTGTTAATACATTTCCATGTATTAAGAAAAATTAAATAAAAAGAGGGGTGTTAATAAGAAAATTTGAAATCTTCTAGCATTTTATATGGAAATGGTTCATAATATGGTATAGAGTATAAAACAATAGACCACTTAAAAGTTCATTTTCTAATTTCTAAAGATCTGGCTTTTTTTTTAATGAAAATTATATTTTTGTTGTAACATAAGGAGAAATATAAAGATTGAGAGGGAATTGAAATGTGTATTCTACTTATATTTTATACGATGAAGGTATACATATATATATACATTACAATTGATAGAGTTTACTTGGAGAATAATAAATCCTAAACTCTAGAAAGTTCTAGAGTGATACAAGATATCCACAAATATGTTTAGATAAGAATAAACCCTATATCTAGAATATTATGGAATGATATAACGAGCATAATGGTCATCCACACGATATTTCATAACAGTTTTTGTTTTTTTTTTTTTTAAGGAAACTAACTAAGGGTCTGTTCACATTTACTAATTGGAGCTGAACAGAATATATTATGAGAGAAGGAAATTAGGAGTTGAACTGAGAACTAAACTAATTGGAAC